CCCATCTGTCCTCTGGTGTCCTCCCCTATAACCCCGCCCATCTGTCCTCTGGTGTCCTCCCCTATAACCCCGCCCATCTGTCCTCTGGTGTCCCTTCACTATAACCCCTCCCATCTGTCCTCTCCCCTTATTTGTAATTTCTTCATAGCTCCTCCCGTTTGTCCTTTTCCCTATAGCTCCTCCCATTTGTCCTTTCCCTATAACCCCTCCCATCTGATCTCTCATTTGTCCTTTCCTCATAGCTCCTCCCATCTATCCCCTCATTTGTCCTTTCCCTATAACCCCTCTCATCTGTCCTCATCCCTCATTTGTCCTTTCCTCATAGCTCCTCCCATTTGTCCTTTCCCTTTAACGCCTCCCATCTGTCCGCTCTACTGTGTCCCTTCCCTATAGCTCCTCCCATCTGTCATCTCCCCTTATTTGTCCTTTCCTCATAGCTCCTCCCATTTGTCCTTTCCCTATAACCCCTCCCATCTGTCCTCTCCCCTTATTTGTCCTTTCCTCATAGCTCCTCCCATTTGTCCCTTCCCTATAACTCCTCCCATCTGTCCTCCCACCTCATGTGTCCCTTCCCTGTAGCTCCTCCCATTTGTCTTTTCCCTATAACCCCTCCCACCTGTCCTCTCCCCTTATTTGTCCTTTCCTCATAGCTCCTCCCATTTGTCCTTTCCCTATAGCTCCTCCCATTTGTCTTTTCCCTATAACCCCTCCCACCTGTCCTCTCCCCTTATTTGTCCTTTCCTCATAGGTCCTCCCATTTATCTTTTCCCTATAACCCCTCCCATCTGTCCTCTCCCCTTATTTATCCTTTCCTCATAGCTCCTCCCATCTGTCCTTTCCCTGTAGCTCCTCCCATCTGTCCTCTCTCCTCATCTGTCCCTTCCCTGTAGCTCCTCCCATCTGTCCCTTCCCTGTAGCTCCTCCCATCTGTCCCTTCCCTGTAGCTCCTCCCATCTGTCCCTTCCCTGTAGCTCCTCCCATCTGTCCCTTCCCTGTAGCTCCTCCCATCTGTCCCTTCCCTGTAGCTCCTCCCATCTGTCCTCATTAGGAGGTGCAGGAAAGCTGCTCTACAATCTCCTGGGTGGAATCATGAAACAAATATTTGTAATCTGCGGGCGGGACAACCTTCCGGTGACGCGCGGCTGCGGCAGAGTTCCCGATAAGACGCCGGCGGTGGTATTCAGTACTCACCGTCCTCCTTGCGAAGATTTCTCTCTATGTTGGCGACACAGGAAGCGCACGTCATGCCGGAGACCCGAATGAAACACTTGTTGCTTGTGCTGCTCTCCTGCTTGCTCTTCACAGGCATTTCTTGGGAAGAAGGGTGCGGAGGTTTCCGGGGGGGATCCAATGAGGTGACAGATGTCATTCCTTCTATGAACGAGGAATAAATGTGACACAAGGTGCACCGTGATAACCACGCACATGTATGTTATAGACAGGAACACACCCCTCCCGATAACACGCCGGCGCCATGATCAGCCTTATCTACCCCTGACACCGGCCATGAGGTCACTATTCACTGATTGGACCATCAGCTCACCCACCAATCATGTATGAGCTCATTTTATCCTAGGGTATGCGAATCTATAATATGCATCACAGGGGGACGCATCACAGGGGGACCCATCACAGGGGGACGCATCACAGGGGGACGCATCACAGGGGGACATATCACCTCTGTGCTCCCCAACAAGGGTTCCCTCAGGAAACGTCTCCCCTCTGTGCTCCCCAATAAGGGTTCCCCCAGGAAACATCTCCCCTCTGTGCGCCCCAACAAGGCTTCCCCCAGGAAACGTCTCCCCTCTGTGCGCCCCAACAAGGGTTCCCTCAGGAAACGTCTCCCCTCTGTGCTCCCCAATAAGGGTTCCCCCAGGAAACATCTCCCCTCTGCGCTCCCCAACAAGGCTTCCCCCAGGAAACGTCTCCCCTCTGTGCGCCCCAACAAGGGTTCCCTCAGGAAACGTCTCCCCTCTGTGCTCCCCAACAAGGGTTCCCCCAGGAAACGTCTCCCCTCTCTGCTCCCCAACAAGGGTTCCCCCAGGAAACGTCTCCCCTCTGTGCGCCCCAACAAGGGTTCCCTCAGGAAACGTCTCCCCTCTGTGCTCCCCAACAAGGGTTCCCCCAGGAAATGTCTGAACTCTGTGCCCCCCAACAAGGGTTCCCCCAGGAAACGTCTCCCCTCTGTGCTCCCCGACAAGGGTTCCCCCAGGAAACGTCACCCCTCTGTGCTCCCCAACAAGGGTTCCCCCAGGAAACGTCACCCCTCTGTGCTCCCCGACAAGGGTTCCCCCAGGAAACGTCACCCCTCTGTGCTCCCCAACAAGGGTTCCCCCAGGAAACGTCTCCCCTCCGCGCTCCCCAACAAGGGTTCCCCACCAAGTACTAAGTCATGTTCTGCTTCCGGATCAAATCCTTATTTTACTCCCTGAACTGCAACTCCATTTATAACCTTTGTGTCATGTGACCTCTCCGGGTGTTTGGGGGATTTTCTGTCTCCGATGATACAAATTATATCTGCCGGGGAGCCAATCAGCATCCTCCTCGCTGTATATAATAACAGCGAGGGGGACACATTATATGATACTTTGTGACACATGGAGTTTGTGTTCCTCGGATTGCCACATCCAAATCTTAATAACACCAACAGGAAATGAGTTCCTCCCAAGAACACGGCTCCAGTAACACGGAACAATCCGCATCTTGTTGTGCTGACATGTTCAGCCAGATTTTAACCCCTTCGTTACCTAACAATACATCATCGCCACACAATTCAGCTTTGTCAGCACCCAACCCCCTCTGAAACCAACGCACAAGCAATTCTCACTTCCTGAACCAAGTTACTTCATAAAGGACCAACAATACATCTGAGACCCATCAGTCTGGTGTCCTCCACCCGAGACCCATCACTGTATCATATTATACATGTAGTCTGGTGTCCTCCACCCGAGACCTCCATCCGAGACCCATCACTGTATATTATACATGTAGTCTGGTGTCCTCCACCCGAGACCTCCATCCGAGACCCATCACTATATCATATTATACATGTAGTCTGGTGTCCTCCACCCGAGACCTCCATCCGAGACCCATCACTGTATATTATACATGTAGTCTGGTGTCCTCCACCCGAGACCTCCACCCAAGACCCATCACTATATCATATTATACATGTAGTCTGGTGTCCTCCACCCGAGACCCATCACTGTATATTATACATGTAGTCTGGTGTCCTCCACCCGAGACCTCCATCCGAGACCCATCACTAGATCATATTATACATGTAGTCTGGTGTCCTCCACCCGAGACCTCCATCCGAGACCCATCACTATATCATATTATACATGTAGTCTGGTGTCCTCCACCCGAGACCTCCATCCAAGACCCTTCACTGTATATTATACATGTAGTCTGGTGTCCTCCACCCGAGACCTCCACCCAAGACCCATCACTATATCATATTATACATGTAGTCTGGTGTCCTCCATCCGAGTTCTGCATCCGAGACCGAAGATCAGGAGTGGATGGTACCGTCCTATGGAATGGATCTCTATGATATAACAGTGATGGTGTGATGTAGATGGTTGGAGTGAAGATCAGGAGTGGATGGTACCGTCCTATGGAATGGATCTCTATGATATAACAGTGATGGTGTGATGTAGATGGTTGGAGTGAAGATCAGGAGTGGATGGTACCGTCCTATGGAATGGATCTCTATGATATAACAGTGATGGTGTGATGTAGATGGTTGGAGTGAAGATCAGGAGTGGATGGTACCGTCCTATGGAATGGATCTCTATGATATAACAGTGATGGTGTGATGTAGATGGTTGGAGTGAAGATCAGGAGTGGATGGTACCGTCCTATGGAATGGATCTCTATGATATAACAGTGATGGTGTGATGTAGATGGTTGGAGTGAAGATCAGGAGTGGATGGTACCGTCCTATGGAATGGATCTCTATGATATAACAGTGATGGTGTGATGTAGATGGTTGGAGTGAAGATCAGGAGTGGATGGTACCGTCCTATGGAATGGATCTCTATGATATAACAGTGATGGTGTGATGTAGATGGTTGGAGTGAAGATCAGGAGTGGATGGTACCGTCCTATGGAATGGTAGTAAGTGGTGTGATGTCACTTACCAGCTAGAGAGGCATCAAATCCCATGTCCTGAATAGCGTCTCGGAGGGTCTCCGGACTGGTGACGGCCGGGTCATACTCCACAGTCCCCGTCCCATCTCCCAGTGACACCCGAATAGACCTGACACCCGGCTTCTGTGAGATCAGACCCTCAATGGACTGGACACATGAATTGCAGGTCATCCCTTGAATGGTAATGACGGTGATCTGGGGTGGACTCTCGGGATTGGTCCTCTTGGAAGGGGTTTGGGAGGCGGTTCCGGTGGTTCTGGGGACAGAGTCCAGAGTCACTCTGAAGGTCCCCGGAGACAACGCTTCCATCGCTCTGCACAGTGCATCGGAATTGGTGAGATTTGGATGATAAGTGATCACTGCGGATCGTTTCTCTAACGACACTTCCACCCCGGTCACCCCGGCATGAGACGCCATGCCGCCTTCAATGTTCACAACACATGATTTGCAGTGCATGCCTTCTACTTGGAAGACGGCTCTGGTTAGGTCAGTATGCGGCTTTGGTCTTGGCTGGGACACGTCCCCGTTACCATTCACCTGTGCAGTGGTCAGTCGGCCGACGTCGATCTTCCCCAGCTTGGCGAGCGGCTTGCTCTTCAGCGATGCCGAAAACCCGGCTTTTTGGATTTGGCTCCGGATCTCGTCCGGCGTGATGAGGTGCGGCTGGAAGAGGATGTGAGCTTCCTGGTTATCCAGGGACACTGCACATCAAAAGGAAGATCCATCAGACACATCAATCCATTCATTACATATTGATCACCTCCAGAAATGATCCAAAATCACCATCAGCCCTCCCCTCCCCCCCTGACCCACCCAGAACGACATCTCCCCGGAGCCATGTCCTTACACACAGGCCCGGATTCCCCACAAGGCCACCGAGGCCCGGCAGGGCGCAGAGGGGCGGCAGCGGTGTCCTTGTGAGGAAGTTGCGGGCGCCGGGCAGCAGGTTGCCCTCTCTACATTGAAATGTAGAGTGAGGGAAGCCGATTGTTCCTTCACATGTCGCCGAGATCACATGTAAAAAGTCTGCAGCCTCCTCCTCCCTCCCCCCCTTGCACTTACCTCTCTCCTCTGGTTCCGTCCTCCGGACTCCGGCGCCGAGTCTCTGACTGCAGGGAGCAGAGCGGCGGGGGTAAAAGTAACCCTGCCGCCCTGTGTAGACAGTGAGGGGGGAGAGCGGTGCTAGAACTCCTGTATTGGAGGTGACAGGCGTCAATAAAGAGAACCCGTCACCTCCAATTGCTATCACACAGGGGGATTGTTTTCTCCTGTGTGATAGCAATAAAGTTAGGTGAAAAAAACATTTTTTATTACATTTTTTTTTCCAATAAATACAAAATTAAAAAAAAAATGAAATAATTAAATACAAAAAAAATAAAAAGGTGATTAAAAAGTAAAAAATAATAAGAAATACATTATT